ATACCAAAATCAATCAAAAATCATCTTAAAGATATTTATATCTCGTTTCTAAGCGCGCACACAAATATTTGGGTTGAAATTATTATCAGGACATGATGAGTTAATTGAATATCGGGGATAAGAATGTAAAGAAAAAAAGTTGACAAGAGACTATGAGCAATAATTAAAAATCTTAATCGTGATTATAATGTAGATCAACAAACAAAAAACTGTGATTTCAATATAATTACCTTAGTTTATAAAAAGCTTGGGCGTTTTCTTTATCGGACAATTTTTTTTACTGGACGTCATCCAATTTACAAGTTTATTCTATATTGGTCACTAAAATTTATTTTATTTTAATTTAATTATTCCTGAGCGGTTTGACGTAGAATTTTTGAGAATATATTTTGTGAAAAATAATTATTTTTTTGAGAATGTATGGTTAAAGAATTAAAAAAAATTATGTACCCAAGTGTAAAAATATTTTATTGAAATTTTTTTAATTTAAAAGTGGGTTTGGAAGAAAATAAATTTTAAAAAATCTCCACCAAGTAGGGCTATATCTACAACTATTATCAAAATTGACGGAATCCATGATCTTAGTTGTATCTTTTTTGCAACAATTGTTGTATTTGTTACAAATTTCAAGTTTTTATGTTATAATAAAGTAGTTTTCGCTGTCAAATGACATTTATGTTATATAAATATTTGGCCTATTCATTTAGTCATGTCCTAAATTTCATGGACTAGGTCAAGATTTCATAACGGGAGCCACTATTTCATCTACCATTTTTATATATCTACGCTTCAAAAAAAAAAAACAATATTCTTTTAGACTTTACATTTAATTAAAACCCTAACATTCATAAAATATCTTCTTCAATTAAAGTCAAAACGAACAATGATACTGAAGTAGTTTTGGGGGAAGTACGACATACCGTATTTGATTTGGAGAAAATATCTTTTGTTGAAAAATTATACAACTAATCAAAGAATACTGCAATCCCAAATATCTCCAATAAAGCTGGAAACATAAAATTGCTATTGGAAATATAGACTTCTAAGATTAAAAAAAAAAAGGATAATTCAATTAGTCACCTCTTTCTTGGGCCACATATCTTTCTCACTATCCAGTTCCAGTAGTAGGATTTTCTTTTCCAGATCGGCCTGAAAATTTTGCATATCAGTCATACTATGAAGACTGAAATTATAAGAAACCCAAAAAGTGTAACAATAGCAAATGAAAAAAAAATTCATACAATTTACAAATCGAATACTTTGTTCTTGATTCTTGAATGATTCATACTTGATTTGAAACAATACAGATTTACATTTTTAAAAAACATTTCTTCATTAACATTTTACTAATCATTTTCATCCATT